CGTTTTGCATCACACTGTGATAGGACTATCTTAGGAACAAACGAGAACTAATGTGTTCCAGGATAACACAACCGAGACTTTTAAAGATAGGAGAAGGAAGACAGTCTATGAGATTTATAGATTTTAGCAACATCACGGTTGTAATTGTTTGTAGTTTTCTTAGATGATTTTATTTTTAGTAATTCAGTGAACTAATTTGTAAACAATAGTACAAGTAAATGAAGAAAGTGTTCAAGCCAAGAGTCACCATAAATGCCCTGCAGGGGCTGAACAAGAGTTTTAATTTAACCCTGTAGCTCTGAGATCCATTAAAAAAGGAGAATTGCTATTTCTGTGGGAAATGAACGCTAGCAGAAGTTAGGAGGAGTCAGGTTGTATTCTTGAGGTTTCTTAATACAAGTTATTTTCTTACGAGAAATCAGGGGACTGGGGATATAGCTCAGTAGCATAGCACCTGCCTGGCAAGCACAAGGTCCTGAATTCGATTCCCGGTACCAGAAAAAAATCAAGGCATGAATGAAAAAATACGTAAATTAACGAGAAAATGAGAGCAGTCATTGGCTCAGTTGTGGAAGTGCCAGGTAATAAGGAATCGGATTCACACTGTTTTCTGGAACTGAGCTCTTGCAGCCTTTCTACAATCACATAAGAACTCTACGAGACTGTTGGTTTTTTTGATTTTTCTATGTAGATTACATGGCACCAAGGAATAAAGTTTTATTTTTTTCTGATCAGTTTATTTATTTCCTCTTCTTGTCTTACTGCATTAGTGAGGACTCCAATGTAGTTTTGAAAATCAGTGGTGAGAGGGAACACCCTTGTGTTGTTTGTGACTTTAGTTTAAAAGGTTTAAGTTTCTCCCTTAGGTGTAATTTTAGCTATGGGTGTATAATTTTTTGCCTTTGATGTTCTTTATCAAGTACAGGTATCCCTCTCTTCCTACTTGAGCTTTTTTTTTTTCTAACCATGAATCAGGGCTAGATTTCATCACAAAGTTTTTTCAAAATCTACTAATATAATCACAGGCATTGTTTTTCTTGTTGATGTGTTCAATTAAGTGATTTTCATTTTTTGAATCAGACTTGCATACTTGAGATGAGGTACGGTTACCTTGCGGGGCATACTTTATTATTATGGGGCACAATTCTTCTTACATGTTGTTGCATTTGATGAGTGCATATTTGGGGGGCTTTTTGTATATATGTTCGTATGAAATACTGGTCTGCAGCTTTCTCTCTTGTACTTTTACTGATTTGGTACTGCCGGCCTTTGAGAATGGGTTAGTCAGTATTTTTCTATTTGAATTTTTGAGAGAAATTGTAGATTTGCTTTCATTTCTTCTTGATATGAGGTAATTTCCTGGCGAGTGCATCTGGGTTTGGTGCTTTCTGGCTTAGGTTAGTAGTTAGTTATCATGTTCTTTAATAGATGTGTATCTTTCTCCATGTGTGTTTACTACATGTGTAAGTTCTCTGTGTGTACCTTTCAAAAAAAATCGGTCCATTTCATCTGGTATATCAAGTTTAAGGGTGGAGTTATCCTTAGTATTCCTTTAGTACATTTCTAATACCATGCAATCTATAGCAATGTCCCTTCCTTATTTCAGATAGTAATAATTTATGACCTTTCTCTCTGAATTTTTCCAAATAACAGCTTTTTTCCCTTTGATCCCCGCCCCGTGATGATCTATTTTCAATCTCATTGATTTCCCCTGTGATTTTTGTTATTTTAATTCTGCTCATTTTGTACTTGATTTGCTCTTCTCTTTGTAGTTTCCTCAGGAGGAGCACCTAGTCTATTGATTTCTCGGATATTTATTTAAGTCACTTTATTTTAAATTGACAAGACATGGTCTTTGATACATGCACACAGCTGATGATGAGATCTAGCTGAGTAATCTGTCTCTCACCTCATCTATCATTTTCATTACTCAGTATTTGAAATTTGCTCTCGTTGTTATTTCGAAATAGACCACACATCATTGCTGTTGAGTGTAGCAACACTTCTGTGCAGTAGATCTCCACGTGTGCTCTCCCTGTCCCTCTGAATCTTGGTGGTCTTTGACCAGTCACTCCGCGTTGTCCCCGTCAGACCTGACCCCAGCTACTGGTCACCATTATTTCCTCTTTACTTCTATGAGCTCAGCGTCTTTAGGTTCCACGTATGTGAGGCTACGGGATTTGTCTTTCTGTGCCTGGCATATTTCACTTAGTACAATGTACTGTCTGTACTGTCACGAAAGGTAGACTTTCTCTTTGTGAGGCTGAATAGAATCCCACTGTATACGTATTCACGGAGGGATATTGCTGATGGTTCCATAGATTGGCTAATGTGAATGTTTAAGTGAACGCAGGAATGTGGAGAGAGTTTTGCCGTATTGACTTCTGTTCCTTTGGCTGTGTAAGTGCGATTGTGGGCTCATGGCAGTGCTTTGGCTTGTCTTCAGTTTTTTTGTTCAGCGTTTTATAGTTTATACAGGCTTTTCATCTACACTTACCGCTAGGTATATTATTTGATTTTAAAAATATAATAATTTTCTTGTTACTTTTTTGTCAGTATATAAAATGACTAGTTATTTTTGTGCTGATTTTTGCATCTTGCAATTTTACTGAATTTGTTTATCAGTTCCTTTTTCTTTTTCTCCTTTCATTTCTTTCGAGACAAGGAGTTCAGCTAGCCTTGAACTCACTTACTTAGCCCAGACTGGCCTTGGACTCACAGTGATCCTCCTGCCTCAGTCTCCCAAGTGCTAGGATTATAGGCGTGTTCCACCATGCCTGGATGTTTATCAGTTTTGACATCTTCCTTCCCTTCTTTTCTTTTCTTCTTTCTCTCTCTCTCTCTCTGTTTCTTTCTTTCATTCATTCTTCCTTTCTTTACTGGGAATTGAATTCAGGGTCTTGTGCTGAGCTATATCCCGGGACCTTCTTTCTTTGTTTTTTAATTGATGTCATCTCGGGTTTTATGTGTCCAACCATGTTGTCGGCAAATAGAGACAATCTCACATCTTCCTTTCCTATTAAGGTGCATTTTCTTTCTTTAATCTACACATTCAATGATAAATTTTCCTCTGTCCAATTGATTTCACAGCATCCACTGTTTGTTCAGTTTTAGTTAAAGGGAAACTTTATAGAAATGGATTGTTGAGTATGCATCCAATTGAGTGAGAGCAATCACAGGCACACTTAGACCTTGTATAATATGAGAAAAGTTCAGAATGATCAGATGTCTCCGTTGAGTTTTATTAACAACCCCAAAATGCTCTAGTCAGTCATTTGTTTGGGATAAGGAATAGATAGAGGTGCTGCAGTTATTCAGGGCTCATTTGTAGTTTCTTTGTAGTAATGTCTACTATAATTGAATAAGTCAATAAAGTCTTATACTTATTTGATAGAAAAAATTAGAGATCAATGAAGATACTGTCTTCTGAGATAATGGTAATTATTAATTTGGATTTTTACTGCTAGTATTCTTAAAAACATGGAATGTACATGTAGATCCTAGCATACAATACTATTTCAGTTCTGGATTACTGACTGAGTAGCCATTTTAGCTATTCTTTAGAAAATAAACATGGTCAAATCTGTCCATGAACAATTAAATAAATGAGTAAATAAATGAATGTATGAGCTAGAATCAAACAGGTCATTACTAGGAATTTAAAGACAGGTGTAGGTTTTTTTTTTTTTTTTTTATGTTTTTTGGTACCGGGAATCAAACTCACGACCTTGTACTTGCCAGGCAGGTGCTGCACCCCGAGCTCTATCCCCGGCCGAAGACAGATTTAAATGTACACAAACTCAGCAAAAGTAATATCTGTTAAGATGATTTTTATTTTGTTAAAGCTGTTAAAATATAGAGATTTTTTGATAGGTAATTCTTATTTTTAGCTGATGATAGATGGTATGGTATCCACTCTGTTATTCAAAAATAGACAAGAGGAGCCAGGGATATAGCTCAGTGGCACAAGCACCTGCCTGCCAAGCACAAGGTCCTGAGTTTGATCACCAGTACCAATAAATAAATAAATAAATAAATAAATAAGAGGAGCTGCCATTCTTGTAGCAATGATGAAAATTTAGGCATAAATTAGGGTTCTTGATCAGTGCAGATAAATGTTAATGAAAAATAATGTAAGCTGGGGCCAGGGATATAGCTCTAGCACAAGTGCTTGCCTGGCAAGCCCAAGGTGCTGAGTTGGAATCCCAGTACCAAAAAAAAAAAAAAAAAGAAAGAAAGAAAGAAAATATAACATAAACCTATATTATATGATCATATCAAAGTTTTCTTCTTCTCTTTTTGCATATATTAAACACTACATGTATGCTTTCATCAATCTTTAGTCACGAAGCCTTGCTTGCTATTTTGGTGACTAAGGACCTTAGATTATATGAATGCAGAATACACAAATGATTTAAGCACACATCAAAAACTACACGACGTCAAGTGAATTTTTTTTCTTTTTTGTCTTTTTTGGAACAGGGTCTCACTATGCAGTTCAGGCTGGCCTTGAGCTCACTTTGTAGCCCAGGGTGGCCTCAAACTCACAATGATCCTCCTGCCTCAGCCTCCCGAGTGCTGGGATTATAGGTGTGCGCCGCCACACTTGGCAACATTGAGTAAATCCTGTACCACTTTGAGAATGTGTCGTGTAGTAAAGGTGTATTATTGAATTCATCTAAAGCCAATTAAAAGGCAGTCTAGGGGCCGGGGGTACAGCTCAGTGGCACAGCGCCTGCCTAGCAAGCGCAAGGTCCTGAGTTTAATTCCCGGTACCAAAACAAACAAGCAAATAAATAAATGAATAAATAAAAAGCAGTCTATTACCCAATTGTATAGGGTATTTATGTAACAGATACTTGTAGTAATGATAGATACTATTTTGGGGGTAGTTACAGCAGTGACCCGTACGTTATTGAAAAGTGAAAATAAAATTCAGGATTATTGAAGAAAGGTCCAGTGTGTGTTCCTATCTAGTTAAGCCTGCTTTTCTTCCACAGAATGTCCATAAGGGCTGACTTATTCAGCTGTCCTACGAAACAAAAGCTTGGCAGTTAGTTCTGTGGGCAAAGAACGTAGACAATAATGTAAGTAAGACCTCAAGTTCAAGTGCTGTGGGGAGCTTTGTCCGTGTGTGGAGTGGAGCTCAATGGAATCCGTGTCTATATAAGACACAAAATCTCTGAGAACGGACCGATGATGGGAATGGGTGATGAACCTGAAACATGTTTGATCTCAGTTGGAGGTGCTTTCGTCATTGTTTTCTGCTGAGAAACATTTGATATTGCTTTTCATTTGCCAACACAAATGATTGAAACATTTCCCTGCTGATGTGATCCTGGCTGGCCAGCCCTCCTCTGACAGCCTGAGAGAGTGTTGGAAGCGGGTGGCCTCCTCTCTTTTCATTGAACCATCTTTAAGACAGGCAGACTGACTCAAAAGGTCCCATAGAGGACTGGTGGCAAATGCAGGTTTGCTAGTTGATCTCACACATTCTCTGAGGTCCGGTCTGAGTGGAGAACCAGTCTAGGAACAAAGAGCAACCCAGTGGGGAAATCTTGTTCTTAGACTTTTGTGACTGTAATGTTCTTCATAAATGAATAAGCTCATGAACAAAGGAGGAAAAACGTGCTCGGCCTATGATGAGTACCATGGGGTATCTGAAACAGGATATTTTGATTAAACCCAAATGGATCTCTGAGGTCTGTTACAAAAAGACATGTAATTATTCCTCCTTTGGGGAATAAGCCCATGCTAACGTGTCCTTGGGCTTTCGAGTCTTTTGTGGATGGATTTTACTGTGCGTTTGTGTGCATGCAATACTGAGGTCAAACCCAACATGCCCTCTATTCCTGAGTTACACCCTCATTCTAGATTTTACTTTATTATAAAATCAGCCTATACAAAAGATGCATGAATGAGAGAAGAGGTCAAGTCATGCAATTATGACAAGAGAATTTAATATTTGTATATAAAATTGTTTTGTGCTGGTAATGGATTGCTGACTGATATACATTTACTCAAATAATTGCTAAACAACTACATAATTGTGAGACAAGCAGAGACTAATGATGAGAATTTTAAGACAATCTTTTCGCACTTGCTGATTCTTGTGAAAACACAGAAAAACCAGTCTGTTATTCTGAGGGTAATGACTATGGACAGATGTGGATCCCGTCAGTGTTGCAGCCCGCTGCTGTGTGACATGACAGCCACTGATGTCTTTGTATTAAAGAAAGAGGTGATTTTATGTCTTCATTTATTTTGTAAAAGTCAGCAAACCGTGGACCAATTAGGGATAAATGTTATAATATGGGAATGCTGATCCACGGTTTTTCTATGACAGGTATTCTAAGAAAATTTCTGAGCTCTCCTAATTTTTTGAAAGACGCAAATGGACTTTTTCAAGTCGTAATAACTTGGTGTTTTAAGAAACAAGGACATGTTTTTAAAAATAGACTTTTGTTCCTCTGGAACACACATAGCTGATTTTATCATGTTCTAATCATGAGGATCATCACTGCCTCGGACTGCTGTAAGTAAACATACCCACGCTGACATTCTGGGTTTGAATGGCATTTCTTCACGGGTGCCCCCTAAATTATTTCACTACAATAAATTGTTAAATAATAGATGAAACGAAGGACTGCCAATCATGGGCCTGTTATGGCAATGAGCAAAAAAAATGTGATTAATTCATCTCAACCCTAATGAGGACATTACTAAAGCTGTTGAGGGAATTTTGCAGATTTATCTGCCCATTTGCTTTGGCTGTAGTTGCTTAATATGGCCCCTCATTAGCGAGCATCTTATGCACACCTCCCTCCCAAGGAGAGGCCAGAAAGTAGCAGATGTCAGTTCTAACAAGTGTGTGCTGCATTCGGAGTTCTAGGGTGCTGATTACAGAGCTCTGAGCTTGGGGCAGGCCCCAGCCCTGAGAAGGGACTGACCTGAAGTGCGGTGGGATGATTAACCCACAGGTGTGAGGCAGAGGTTTCCTGTGATAAGTGACTGAGTCCATTTGCTCTGCAGGAAAGAGAGCAGTGAACGGAGTTTAGTCCTATTAAAGCCTTTTGTCCTCAGTTTTCTGTTAGTACAGGGTATTGATTATACAATTATTATTGTGAATCCACGAATGGCTGAATCAATGTAAGAAGGTTTAAGTAGCCAGAGATGCGGAGAGCCAGGCCCGGATCGATGGGGTGTATTGGTGGAGATGTCTGAACCAGCACCTTTGATTAAGCCTTCTGTGTAGCTCATGGTCCAGTACAGAGCTGGAGCCAGCATAATATCCTGTAGATGTGACCAAAGTCAGGGCCACTCAATGAGCCAGCCTTGGGATTTTATGGGGTAAGATATGGAATATATTATTTCAAGCAAATTAATACATAAATACTTAGATAAATATATACACAAAAGAAGACCTGGAGGCCTGTTTAGGGCGTAATTAGTGAAGTACAATAAAATATGAATTACCAACATTACTACTTGCCATATAACAAGTACAATTATTAATTAGAAGTAAAAGGAACAGATGGAACCTCTAATCCTGTCCTATGGAGCATTTCAGTACCTGTAGCTGAGACAGTTTTTTGTAGTTTGCTGTTCATTTTTTTAATTAAGAAAAGGAAAACCTTGTGCATCAGCCAATAGCCATCTTCTTCCTAGATGCTCATCCTGGCAGATGCGTGCCATTGCTCTAGGTGTTATTCATAGACAGATGATGTCATCAGTACTGTTTATCGTATTATTTAAAACTGAAAGTTCAATACTAGATGAATAACACTTGCATTTTTGAGCCAAAGTTTATTGGTATCTAGTTTTGCTCGGCTGACTCATTACAAAACCAAATCAGTCTTTTTTTTTTCCCTCCCCAGGCTGAGCAGGGTAGCTGATTTGATCATTTGTTAAAGAATGATTATTCAGAATAAGGAGCATTGATATAATAAAGGCAAGTCCCTTAGTTCACGATGTGCATTTGGATTGTTTATTCATGGTGCTAGCTGCAGGATTTCAAAGTAGTAACTACAGGTATAAAATAAATAAAACATGCCAGATATGGACCAAGAATGGGAATGTGTTATGTTTAATCTAAATTAAAACAACTGAAATGATTTTAGAAGATGACAAAAATTATTAAATTATTAGTGGGACATTTTACTATTTTTTGAATAGCATGGTTGCTTTCATCATTCCTATATGGGCAGAAATCCTGGCTAATAGCTCTTTTGGGACAGTCAAGAGTGTAGAGGGTTTTGTGCATTTTTCAGGATAACAGAAGATGACAGTTTCAGTATTTTTTTTTGAACCACCTTTGGCCTATGAATGAATTAAATAGAGGTGGGTCACACAAAATGTAATGGTAAATTTTGATGGAAAGGGCTGGGGATTTAGCTCAGTGGCACAGTGCCTGCCTGGCAAGTGCAACGTCGTGAGTTCGATTCCCAGTACCAGAAGAAAAAAACAAACAAAAACAAAACAAAACAAAAAAAATTTTTTTTGATGGAAAGCTGGCACATAGACCAATCTATATGTGCACCTTTGAGCACCACTTAAAAAAATATGACGTATAGATCAGCAGACAAGAGCCTAGAATTCAAAGCCTTTTTGGGACCTGGTCGGTTGGGGTTGTGTACTATTTGTATGTTGGCAAATTAATCAATAAATGAAAAACAATGGCTGGTGTAAACCAGTGATGAATTGCATGGGGTTTCTGAATCGAAGGCTCTGATTAAACTCATCTGCAACTCTGAGGTCCATGGCAAAGAGATTCTGTATTCCCTTCACGGAAGATGAGCCCACGGAGTCTTGTTCTTATTCTTCCTGGCTTGGGGGGTGGGTATGAATTACCTTACTATAATAAAACTAGCCATGAATAAATAGTGTATCCGTAGATGAAGAATATGAGAGGTACATAGGTATTTGCTTCTTAAAACATGAGTTCCTACTAATTTTGAGACTCTTAGTTCAAGGGTATTGACAGGGAAGGGTCTTAGCACTCTTTGATGATCATCTGCGGCTGAAATGTTGAGACGTGCTCTCCACTGATGAAAAGTGTTTACATAAATAGGTATTTGATGGAGTAAATACATAAACAAAAGAGAGAGCATAGAATAATGATGAGATTTCATACCACAAAGCTTTATGATTAATACAGTCTTTCTATTTAGTTGACAAAAGAAAAGAAACATTAATTTGAAACCATTTGCTATCCTTTTAGGTAACTTATCCAGCGTACAGGGTCTCAGAGATGCTAAAGTGTAACTGAGGGAACAAATTTATCCATTTATATCTCGATTTGCTTTTGAGAAAGCCAGCAATTAAAGCAGCGGTGGAAAGCGTGCTGTTGGACTTAGAGATCGTGGTTTGTTGCATGATTGAAATCCATAGGAAGGCACAGGTTCCTAGAGCTCGCCAGTGGTGCCTGCAGACTCTTAGTAATTTAGTGTACTGATTTTGTTTTGATGGATGGAAGCCATTAGAAAAATAATCCCATGTGATCCCACTAAATGCCTCAGTTAGTGAGTGATTTCATAAATATAGTAAGAAGGGTTAGGCTTAGACCTCCAGTGGGTGTACCATGTGCTGAATCTCTCATTTATCTAGTTTTGTCCAAAGTCCAACAGAATGATAATTTTGCCCTTACCTAATGTATATAAAACTTTCAAACAGATGTCCCTAATAATTATAGTAATTTTCCTTGTTTTTTACAGGTAAATTAAGTAGTGTCTATTTAGTTATTTAGAACAATAAATTGCAGATATTGTTTTCTTTCAAATTACACAACCTAATAAATACACAGTAGTGTTCTCTTCCCAAGTGTTCAAAATAAAATACAAATCAAAATTTACAGTTCATTGATTGTTACCTGTGTTTTGTTTAAAACAGCTAAATTAGACTCTTTTAGCTCATTTAAACATTTGCTTTCTGCTCCTCAGAGTGAACGCAGTCTACGTGTATCCATGATTATCTTCCTGTGACGACCTTGTCTTCTAAGGAGAGAAGATGTCAGTGTAAGTAACAGGAAAGCGTGTGTCCTCTCTCCAGGAAGGCCTGGATCGCAGTATTACCAGGGTTATGTTAAAGGAATAAGTTCAAAAGTTGTCACACTCTGACCAATGCTAGAAATTGTTTATGAATTAATACTTATGATTAATCCCACTCAACAGAACTGAATTCCCTAGGACAAAAAGAGGAGTGGCGTTTCTGCCACGTGAAGCATTTTTAAGAGGACATTGTATTTTTATCTTACAGTGAATTCCAACACTTCTTCCTCACCATTCTTATGGTTTGCTAACCCACTGAGAGGCATAGATAAGAAAATATAGTCTTACTTGCTCCTTGGCACTGGTATAAAATAGGAGTGCATTGTACCATCTTTAAAATATGGATATTAAATGAAAGAGGCCCGAGGGTGCACCTTTCTTGCTTTTTTTTTTTTCCTTTTTTTTGGTTCTGGTAATCTTACTCTAGACCTTGAGCTTGCCAAGGTGGCGCTGCACCGCTGAGCTATCTCCCCAGCTCCCCTAGGCCCGAGGGTGGACCAGTGACCAATAGGAAACTGACACGGTAGAAGGAGACATATTAATCCCTATTTTTACACTGAGGTTTGTTTTGCAGAGAGATAAAGGCCTCTGGCTCTGTGGGATATGACCTTTCACAGACATACCATATTAAGGATCTTTCCCCCTAATTCGTGGACAGTGACTATTATCAGTGAATTCACAAATAAGAATAATGCAGATGAATGCAAGCACAGAATACCAAGTCTGGATCAATGATGAGTACGCGTGGGGCATCTGAATCAAGGACTCTGATTAAACCCAGTCTGTGACTCTGAGGTCCTTTTTGTCTATGGGAAATGTGCTTATAGAGGAATTGGAATCTGTCAAGGAATTATTTATGGTCTTTAGTTGTTCATTTATGTAGACTGTATTGTTTAAACTAACTCCATGCATGAATAAATTCAGAGAGGGCTGCACATCCAGTTTTGAAAGGGGCTGATATTCCAAGGATTGATGTTCATTTCTCAGGGTTTGAGTTTGGGTAACACAGACTAAGGCTGCTGCCCCTGGGAGAAGAACTAGACATAGTTTTCTGCTTTTTGTTTTGGGTTAGGGTAAGTTGCTGAATGCATGTCTCCTTTTAAAAGTGAATTAGAATTTAATGAAGTTATATGTTGGCACAATAAAGAAATAGAATTTCAAATATGCACATTCAGTAATTCAATATGGCAAATCATGGTAGATGCATGAATTAAAATATTTTAGTAATCAACTTAATGTAATTAACAAAATGACTAGTTATTGAAACATGGAAAAGCCTAAATGTGAATGTTGGAGTGTGAATATGATCCTTACATATCCTCTTGTAGTCACTGATTTTCACTTAAAATGAAAAATGTGAACACATTTTTGGATGACTTTGTGAACAATAAATGAATAGAAAGACGTTAGTATCCCCAAAGGTTTTGCCCATTGTCCTTAGGGGTCATGAACACCGTTGATATCTTTGTGAGTTAATAAGGGAATAATATCGTATCTCAATCCGTTTGTTAAAAGGGGGAACTGTGGGCCAGTGGGAAGCACATGTAATATCTGAAGTGCTATCATCAATCTTGTCTTCACTCTTTAAGGTTATTTAAACAAATGAGGCTCATCTCGGAAGAGTCATTGAGACCTCACTGTCTACATCTATCTTGCTATTAACATTTAAAGTCAAACTAATGAAAAATAAAAATTTAGCTCCTCAGGCATACTTAATCACATTTCAAACCACATATGGCTTCCATGCTGGACAGAGGATGCTGGTGTCACCTCACAAAGGTCCAGGAGTATGCCCGGGGACAGCGTAGATTCTTGCAGTAAATGGTGGTTTGTTTGGGGTAGCAGATGGCGCTACTGTTGTGTGTTTTCTTTAGGGAGAAACAAGAGATAATTAAATTATCCTTAGAGTTAGTAAATAAATGAGTTAGTACATCCATGAATTAATGTACAACATGGCTCACTTGTGTCATAAAACACAAATTTAAATTCATGCCGTTTTGCAAAAGTTTCCCCCATTTAACAATTATCTAGCCTTTGTTCTGTTTGATAGAGGTGTCTAGATGGATTGTAATTGTCGTTCATTTTCTGTAGAGGGGTAGACTGATTTTAATCATATTATTTCATATGAAAAGTGGAAGTAAGTCAGCGCGTGAGAATAATATCACTGAGGGATTGATGAGAAAAGTGTGCCGCAAACCAGTGTTGTGATTAATCTAGTAATGTACCTCTAAGCTCTGCTTAAAAATCTATTAACATGTTATACTTTTATCTTGGCCATGTGTCTTTTCCTCCAGAAGGAGCACCCAGCGTGGGACTTGGTCCTTCTCATGTGGTGAAAGTTTTGGCTGTTCCTCTTTGGTAAGGAGAAATCTCAGTCGGATTTCCTGTTGTTGGTTTGTTTGTGTGTGCTCGTGGAAGTATGGAAACCAAGACTTTATACACAAAAATTAAACCCCAGAGCACCCATCGTGGGCCTACCGTAGAGATGTGTTACAGAACAAGGGGTGCTAGGAACCCATTTCAGAACCCGAGATTGTTTTTTTTAAAAAGATCAGAGGCATTTCGATAATTTCCAGAACTGTTTGATATTTCATGTTATTTCTGCAATGTGGTTGTCTTAAGCATTTCCATTCTACAATCCGGGCCCTTTAGAGAAATCTTTTAGGAGGTGATACGTGTTTTGGTTCTAGCTGTGGGATGCTGTTGCGGGTTTTGATTGCTCTTTGTACTGTTTTTAGACAAAGGCAGATTCCACGGACACGTCTCAGTCAAGGAGCGCGGGTAAGAAACAAGATTCATTGACTCTTTCACGTCTGAACACGTTGTGGGCCTGATGACAGTGTAGTCATATTCAGGATCTTGTTATTGAGAATTAAGGAAGGCTAAGTGCTATGTCTGGACCAGTGATGAGCTTGGTGGGTGTCTGAATTGAACATTTTGATCAAAGCCATCTGGAACTCTGAGGTCCATTTTGAAAAGTGGCCTGTCTCTTTCCTCTGTGGAAATGACCCTGTGGCAGATGTTCAGATTATTCAGGTAATTGGTTAGCCATGTTCACTGTTATGAGTGTAGACTGTATTTTTATTAGTCATTCAATACATGAAGAAATGAGACGAGTATAGATCAGGTGGATGGTAGAGTGCGGATCATTACTATACTTACATGTAGTGCCTAATCCCAGTGTCAGATATTGATGAATGCAGTTGCCCCTTTGTAAGATGCGTGGCATGTAGATGTAAGTCTCAGCATCATAGTTTGATGTAGGTGGGTACTCGCTGCTTGTTTGTACTTAGAGCAAAGTTGTAAAACAAACAACAGATTAAGCACTTATTTAGCTGGCAAAAGGAATGAGCGCAGCTCATCTTGAGAGTATCTCTAGGGAAAGAGTTATTAATCCAAATATGAATTTTATTAAAAATATGAAAGAACATCTGTTTTAAAATTTATTTCCCTGATTTACTTATATTAATTATACATATGAATGGGGCGCAGTGTTGAGTTCCAACAAGCGCATCTGGTGTTTAAATCTCCATGGGCAGCGTAATGAACATGTGGGAACATAACGGCATTTTTTTAAGGTTTTGGGCTAACGTTAGCTGTTTCTTATATATTGGTAAATGACTCCTTTAGAGTACAGTATGTCCTTGTCATGGTTTTGTTTTTAAAATAAGGCAAAATGTAGACCCAGAAGAAGTCAGAGCTGGGAAGGTAGCTCAGTGGTAGGTCACTCACCTAGCATGCAGGTCATCCTCAGTTCAACCCCCACTACCACAAAATAAAGAAAATAAAGTGAAAAAACCAGACAAAAGCATAAGAAGGGTCCACTCTTCCTATTTTGGATATGAGAATACAGACACTCCAACATGGATACCATTTCGGTTTTGGGTTGTCCCTAGGTTACCACCGTGTGGTTATTATATATGAGTGCACGGTCACATGGTCCATGAGTCATTCTGTAAATGAGGGACGAGGGCACTGGTAGTAGCATATATATAAGCAGTGTGACATACTGACCATTGGTACAAATAGGCAATCAACAATGAATGTAAATTCACCTTTTTCTTGACAAATTGACTCCAGAGAAAGCAAGAAGATAATCTATGCTCTTGCCTCTGTGGATAGGGATCTATAGTGTGTATCTGATAATTCATTGTTTTGAATGATGCCTTTCATAGATGCCTTTCATAGTGTTTATCATATTATTTAAAATTAGTAAATCTTAATTTTAATAGATAAATAAAAATATCGTATTATTGGGTCACTCCTGAAAAAGGACTTGAATCCACTTTATGATCACTCTAGCACACAGCTAATATCTTTAAGCTGATCGAAATCTGTAGTGTTTATTCTTTCCAAAGTTGATATTTGATGTCATAGAATGAAGATGATGGCGGATTTTTTATTTACTTACTTATTTATTTATTTATTTTCTTTTTTGATGGCAGGTTTAATTCAGTCTCTGTGGAGGAAGATTTGAGCTGTTGTCATCTGAGGTAAGAATCCCAGTGAACAAGTACATAATAGTCAAAGAATCCCGTTAATCACAGCGGGTTTCTCATTAGTGTTTATCGAATTGTTTGCATTAAGCCATTAATAGACCAGTGCTCTCAATGTCTTCTGAAAGCAAGTTTGTGATTTATCCACTTACATTGTTGCTAAGCTATAAGATCAGGGACTTTCCTCTCTTTACAAACTCATGTTTGTATCGCGTTTAAGTGAAAATTAACCCAGCGCTGCCATGTGCAAGCGGTTGCTTCATCTACACGCGGCTATTTGCCTTTAAGGAAATCATGTTCAAATGAATTTTTATCTTCTGTTTCCTGGGTGTGCCAGCCGCATTTTGAGTACGGAAGCAGCTGCTTGTGGTTCTGGGGCGCTGTCGGGACAGTGCTGTCCATAGCTGCCTTGTGCCTCACACCCAGCACTGTCTGTGAGGCAGCTCGCGACAGGAAGGAGGCAGGAGAGGAAAGATGGAGGGCTGGGATCCTCTGCAGCAAAGTGCTAATTGGCCCTTATGTGCTGTGCCGAGGGCCTCTACAGAGAGAGCTCTGCAGTACGAGGAGCAGACGTTGTCAGTGCGAGATAGCCGGCGCACAGATCTTGGTGGTGCTCAGGGTGATTGTTCTCGGCTTATTTTTTAAAATTCATTAGTATTGATTTTATTATTGCTAGCAAAGCAACAAATGGATCAATAAATAAAGGTAGAAATGAAGAAAAAAGATTGCTTATCCTGCCTGGATCAATGATGAGTAGCCTGGGGAGTCTGAATCAAGGACTTTGATTAATCCCTATACCTCTGAGATCCATTACAGGAAGATTCCTATTTATTATCTTATGGGAAATAGGCTTATTCCAGGAGTTTAAGAGAATATGAATTGTGTTCTTAGAGTTATGGGCACAGATTGTTATTAATTTTTCCCGTGAAACAGTTGATAAATAAATCAAGAAACCTACCTATGAATACAGACAGAATGGGTTATTTCTGGTCCCCATAGGAGAGTATTTCATGCAGTAAAAGCCATTACTAATAATACATTTATGAAGCACTGAATTTCAGTAACATAAATTGATCAAAGCTGGCCGTTTTGGGTAAGGAACAGTTACATAAATAGATGTTAGCATCTATGTTGTGGCATTAGGTTAGGTTATTTGTCTGATTATGAAAAGGGCAAAATATTTATATTCATTATTTATTAAATAGCTACCTAGTTGAGAAAGGGCTGAGATATAGATCTGTGTTAAGAATATGTCATATAACCCGTTGTGATTAATCTAGTAACCCTCACTATGTTTAAATTGAACTCCTCAGTGTAATTAAAGAGTAAAAAGTGAACTGATATTTTTTCTGTGTCCGAACATTCAAATGCACATTAATATCATACAGTTCCTGTGAAATTACAGGTATAATATTATTATGACTAATGCACAGATAAGTTAATACTGCGGCCAATGATTTAATTATTCAGTCATTAAGAATAGAAAGCATCGTAGGCTTGATCTCTGGTGTCATGATTTTCTACTCTCCATTTATGATAGCATCAGTGAGTGAATTATTAAGCAAAGCTCTAAATAAAGATAAATCGTGTGATACGTTGACCAATTGTGAAAATAAATGGATGACGAGCAGTGTTCATATGTATGGAAAATACAGAATTCCCTTAAGAAATGAATGATTCAAAGGTGTTAAAGTCTTTTAGTAGAAGATGGAATGGATGATAAACACTATGTTAGGACAGTTATCATTTTGTAAAATAACTCTTCTTCTTGTTTGTACTTTCAGCATAGCTGCTCCCCAGCCGACCTCCTAGGAGCAGGGAGACCCATGTGAGTGCAGTCAAAGGATCGTGGTGGTTTGGGTGGATTTTACATGATATTTATTGTATTGGTAGAAGCCTTATGTGTCATCCAAGCATGTGAACTTGGTGACAGGAGAAATATAAAATGGCTGTGCAGTGCTTTGTAAATTCATCAATAGCTGCAAATTTGCGATTGGCTAAGAAGAGATCTATCCACTCTGACTAAAGATCCTATAGTCAGCTCACGGTGTACCTAGGGATCTTGTTGTTAACTTTTTGTGATTCCTAGTTATGTAGTTATTATTAGTGAAATGAATAGTATATGTAGAAATTAATGGAGAATTAGTGGAGAAAGAAGTCCAGTCTTGGGTCAGTGATGACCACTGGTGTTGAATGAGGCATGGATGATGATCACAGCTCTAAGGTCCGAGTTCCAGCACAATAGGGCATCTAGTGTGTACCTCAGACCCTAGGAAGACAGCTCAGGAGTAGTGAAGGGGTCTCAGTCAAAAGGCTCATTCTGTTTTTCTAATTGGATCAATGAAAGTGTCATTGAACAAATATATAAATAATGAAGTGTTTGAAGCATTGACCAATTACGAAAAAATATGTGCCAAGAAATTCTGCTACTGTAAAACAAAAACCCCTCACTAAAATTCATTATGAAGTAGACATCAAAACATTATAATCTTGGTTGAGCATATCATATATAATAAATTTTAATGGCTTTAAGTTTTTTTGTCCAGTGTTACATATTTCCTTAAGCAAAAATGTCATCACAGTGTCTCTCGTACTTAATGTGAAAACGTAAGGAGGGATGGAGAGAAAACACTGAATCTTCTCATTTTCTGCTTTTTACTTGTAGAATGGATCATCTAAAACTGAAGACAGCATCCTTCCCAGGACGTGAAGTCTGCGGTTGACCCTATGTGTTAGGAACATGGAAACCAATGTGAGTATCAACAGAGCTCTTGGCTTGATTGTTTCTAAACAGGTATTAGGAAAAACATTGTGTATAATCAGAAACTGCCGATCATGGTGCAGTGATAATTGTGACATGGTTGTGAATCTTTGTGTTCTTTGAGCGATATAGACAGAGCAATCATGCAAGTAAAAGAAAGAAAATGGGTACAAGAATATAGTATAAAAAGCGTGATTACCACAGAAAAGTAGATATGTGGACTAACAAAATGGAACAGCTGTTAAGGAAATAACCCCATGAATCTTCAATCATCTGATTTTTGACAAACAGCCCACAAACACACATTCGAGGAAGGCATTTATGTAGCTAGAGATAGCGTCTGTATTTATACAGGAACAAGGGGTTAACGTAGGGTTTAGTCCAGGGGTTAATGTAGAATTTAGCATAGGAAGGCCACCTGAGGATCAGTGATGACCGCTAGAGTCGTATGAGTCACGGATGATGACTACAGTGCTCGAGTCTGAGGTCCAAACCATGAGAAATCTAGTGTGCACCTTGTGGTCGCAGAGCTAGTGCTGGGAATAGTCAAGGATGTCCTAGGACGGTCTTTGTGTTCTCGGAGGTTCAGTTTGCTTTTCTGGCTGGATCAATGAAACAACCAGTACACACAGTGTCATCTACTGACCAATGGTAAAAATATATAACGATGAGAATTACATTTTTTTGTATTTCAAACATGGAAGTCCTTGAAGAAAGAAAAAAACCTAAACGTCTTATAATTTTGGCTGAGGATGATAGATAAAATTGAATCAAGAATCTCCCACATAATTTAACTCTCACCTAAGTCAGCAGTGAAATTAACAGATGAGAGCAAGATTAAATGGACATAATATCAGTCCTTTTGTAGCCTCTTCTGCTTTGTACACAGCATTTATGCTCCCCACCCCAGTTTTTGCATTTTTTCTTGGTTGCCAGGTCTGTGTTTCTGCTTGAGTCTGAGGAGCATGGACACCAACGTGAGTACAGTCAAGGTTGTAGCCTTGGTTTGGGTGGTTTTAAGTGGCGTTCAGTGCACTTGTAGAAACATTTATATGCAGTTGAACAATGTCAGTAAAGGCTGAAATGTAAGCAAGACATCACCATGGAGCTTTAACATGAGTAACACAGAATACTGCAAATATATAATTAATATATTTAAAGGCGCCTAAGTCTATTAGAAGATATAAAACCCCAAGTATGTAAACTATTAGTGGAGGGAGACGTGTAGAGTAAAAATAATGGAATATGTCCTATTGAATGCCAGGTACCAGATGTTCAATATTTCTTCTCTTAAAAAATTAATAATTTAATTTCTACTGAGATGACTAATAAAATGAAGAGAGTGATGCATGGATAAATGAACAGAGACTGAATTTTTCAGTGCTCTTTTCTGCTTTATACTCAGAGTGGAAGCTCCTAACTTTCTTCCCAGTTCATGTGCTCTGTGTGTGGTTCCCTGTGTATGTTAACACCATGGACACCAGTATGATTACAAAGTTCTTACCTTGGTTTGGGTGTTTTTTTTGGTAGGGGAGAGTCTGGTTTTTATATTATGTTCACTGTGTTGGTAGAAGCATTACATATAATCCAAGAATGTTGTCTTAGTAACTTTTCTTATTGCTGAAACAATATACCTGACAGAGGAAAGGTTTTATTTCAGTTCATTCTGTAGAGGTTTCAGTGTGGAGTCAGCAGGTCTCCAAGGGGCATTGCAGAACAAAAATGGTTCATGGTAGGGGAGGTAAGATGAAGCAAAGCAGTAAGCAGCAAAGGAAGCCTTCCTTTCCCTTTTCTTCCATCCAGGCTCCGAATCCAGCGGTTGTCCTCACCCACAGCTAGGGCGGAGCATCCCGTCACCCACACCCAGAATAATGCTCACTAATCCAATTATCACACCCTTTACCCACATGACACACCCTTAATCAACATTCACACACCTTAAACCCAACCGTCTACGAGGATATGCAACTTTGGACAGACACGTGGATATAAATCATAACAAACATCCATCATGGCTCAATGATTAGCATGTCATGATTGTAAGACTTTATCGTAACTAACCAATATTCGTACAATTAATAATTACTAAGGCAAAGATAGGTACTCAGTGGGGTCAAAGATTCTGTATATAGCTTGAAAGTATAATTAAGGGTTTTTCTCTTTGATGTTTATGATTCATAGATATTATCATTAAAATTATGAATTTTTAATAAGCAAACATAGAAATTAAGACAAGGAGGCCAAGTCCTGATCCATGATGACCCCCCATGATGGTGTATGAGTTCTTGGATGATGATGATTACAGATCTGGAAGTATGAGGTTCAGAACACTGTCAGACACCTACTGCATACCTTTTGTCCCAGCGATATATTTGAGAAGTAGTCAGGCACTTATTATTTTCTTTGAATTTATACATTTTCATTCTTTTATATATATTTATATTTTTTTTCCAGTACCGGGAATCAAACTCACGATCTTGTGCTTGCCAGGTAAGTGCTGTGCCACTGAGCTAAATCCCCAGCCCCTACTTTTATAATTCTATAAAAATAAATAAAGTAAAGCAATTGAGGCATTAGGAAAAGAATACCGAGGCAAAATACTAATACTGTTCTTTAAAAGCACAGAAGTATCTTAGGAAATAATTGCATCAGAGGCACCATCTTTTGAGAGCTTTGAACAATGAAAATAAAGTGCTTAAATTTTTCTTCAGGTCAGAAACAAATTCAGTATTTGTTTCTTAAGAAGGAAATACCGTAGTTAGATATACATTGGCATTAATAGTGAAATAAAAGGAGCAGTCCAAGAATAAATGAATGGGTACAATATCAATCTTATCATTATCTGTTCTGCTCTGTACTCTCAGGATTGGAGCCTCCGAGCTGACACAGGCATGCTGTCCTGGTCATGAAGCCTGTGGTTTTTGGTACGTTAGGACCCAGAGACCACCGTGAGTACAAAGTTATTATATTCATTTGGGTGGATTTTAAAGGGTATTCGCTTAGTTGTAAAACTTATGTACAATGCAAAGTGTCAAGCGTGGCTCAGGGGGAAATAATAATGAGTGGCTCAATGAGAAATAATAAATGGGTGTGAAAGCCTTTGTTGAAAATTAGCAGCCATGAATGACATAATCAATGTAGGAAAAGAGCCTACAGATGCCGATAAAGTGTACCTACGGATTTGTCTTCAACATTGTGTGATTCCTGCTTATCAACGCGGTCGTGAAATGAATAGTTAGAAGTTAATGTCGAACATAATGGTGAAGATGAGGCTCAGTCTTGGATCAATGATGACCTCTGGTAGCATATGAGTCATGAACGGTGACTAAGCTCTGAAAGTCTGAGGTCCAATACCGTTAAATTTGGTGTGTCCCGCCTTCAGATCTTAGGAGCAGGAGTTAGGAATATTGAAGGGAGTTCTTGGTTTTTGTGTTCACGACCTTTCAATCTATTTTTGGAATTGGATCAAATATATAAATGAAGAGTAGAAAATTAGCCAATTATGAAAATAAATTTTCTGGAAGAAATACCATTAGTATATGTGAGACAGTCCAGGAAGCAATAAAAATGTTCGAAGTTGTAACATTCTTGCTGGACGGTGGCATTCTAGTAAAAATGATCACCTAAGTCCCTACCGAGGTCAGATTCTAAGTGTTCAGTGCTTTTCCTCAAAAAAATATATCGTTATAAATTTTTTTCTCTAAAAATGACTAATGAAATGCACAAAGAATGCAAGAATGAATGACAGAATATCAAATTTTGTTTTCTTTTGTGCTTTGTACCCTCAGAACGAACCCTCCCGCACTGACCGAAGCATTCCACCCCTCGTCATGAGTTCTGTGGTTCCCCTGTGTGTTAGGAACGTGGAGAGCGGTGTGCGTATTGTCAAAATTCTTGTCCTGTCTTGGGTGTTTTTAAAGGGTGTTCACTCCTGGTAAAAGCATTGTATATGACCCAAGAGCATCCACTGTGATCCAGGGAAAAATATGAAATGGCCATGAGATACTCTGTGTATTAACCAATATTTATAAAATTAAGAGTAAGGCAAAGATTTCTACTTATCTGATTACTATTAGTGAGTAAAATAGTACATAAGCAAACAGAAATTAATGGAGCTGACAAATGACATCCGATGTGTACCTTGTGATCCTAGGGATAGGTATCAGTAGTGGTTAGGATGTTTTAGTCTTTGTGTTCACAGAGTCTTTATCTTTTTTTAATTATGTTAGTCCTTGGGTACTTGTGAGGGTTAGGGCCATATTTAGTGATGTTCACTTTGCTGTTAAAGAACGTCCTCACAGTTTTGCTTGTAATTCATAACTAATGAGATGAAGGAGAGATGGAGGGAACATCAGCTTTTTATGTGTTCACCTTTATACTCAGAATGGATGCTTCCAAAATGATTTAAACATTTTATTTTCTTGGTCGCAAAGTCTATGGTTTTCTGTGTTGGGGAGTTCAAAAAAATCAGCATGAGTGTAGTCAGAGTATTTGTTTCCATCTGGGTAGTTTTCAAAGGATGTTCATTTTGTAGATAGAAGTATCACGTAGATGAAAGATCATCAGTAATGGTCCAAGCAAAAATTAAAATGGCTTTGCAGCACATTCTTCATTTAGCAATATGTATTTGCAAAATTAAGAACAAGAAAAGCCGTATGTTCAATGTGGTGAAAGATCCTGTCAATACCTACAAACTGTAACTAAGGATTTTGTTTTTAACTCTGTATAATTTCTAGCTATCAACAGACTAAGGTAGAATTTTATGAGAAGAGGAGGCCAGGATCAGTGATGACCACTGGTGGGATATGAGTCGTAGATGGTGACTAAACTCTGGATATCTGAGGTTCAACAGTATGAGACCCCTACTGTGTGCTTTATGTTGGCACAGGTAGATGTTAGGAATAGTCAAGGATGTCCTTCATCTTTGTGTTCCTGAAGTGTCAGTATATTATTGTAATTAGATCAAAAAAAGAACTATTACTTACACACATAGTCACAATCTAAGAAAAATATATACACCAGAGATAGAAAAACTTATATAAATATTTTAATATTAGACATCATGAGATCAATACAAGTTCATGTAGAATAGGATGTAATGTGTGATAGTGTGAGGCCTTGACTAATTATTAAAATATGTGGCAACCAACAAAAAAATTATGTGTGTATTTAAAATACAGAAGGCCATTAGATGTAAAAAAAAAAAATGCTCAAATGAGTTACTCCCTTGGCAGAGAATGTTAAATAAAATAAAACTAATGGTCTATGTCCTTGTTAGTATCAGGGCCCAAATGTTCAGTGTTCATTTTCTCAAGGAAAAAAAAAATCATCATAATTTAACTCCTACTTAATTGACCATTGAAACGAAAGGTTGAATGCATGGATAATTATCAATCTTGGATAATCTGTTGTGTTTCATACTCTCAGAATGGATGCTACCAAGGTGTTGAAACATATTTTCCTGGACTTGAAGTCTGTGATTCTCTCTGTGTGTTAGGAACATGCAAACTGACGTGAGTATAGTCTCATTACTTTAGGTGATTTTAAAAGCAGGTTTGCCATTTACTAGAAGCATTGTCTATAATCTAGGCAGACCCACAAAGCTATGGTAAATATGGCATGGCCATGAAATACTATTTTGATTAAATAATATTTGCAAAAGTAAGTTTGACAAAGAAAAGAAATCAGTGTGGCAAAAGATCTTATGTATAGGTATTAAATAGTAAATTTGTGTTATTATCAACTAGTCATTATTAATGTCTTCAATACTAGTAAGAAAATATACAAATTAATGAAGAATAACTGGGGGATGAGTCTTGGATCCATGATGACCACTGGTGGCATCTGAATCCTGGATGGTGACAAAGCTGTGGAAGTCTGAGGTCCATCCTGTGAGAAGTCTAGTTTACTTCTGTTGTTAAAAAGGTCGTCCAGGGAGATATAGGAGTATACAACACATCATGGTCTTACGATTTTTACCAAGGGCGCTGGGGATATAGCTCAGTGGCGCAAGCGCCTGCCTGGCAAGCGCAAGGTCCTGAGTTTGATCCCTGGTGCCGCCAAAAAAAAGGGACTTTTACTAAGGGATTTTGATTATATTGAAAATAGACCTAAGATAGAATTACAAAAGAAATATGAATAAATATCTAAATTATTATTAAAATTTATGAAAAGGTAAGAGTGGCTGTTTATATTTACTGAAAGCAATTTCAATAATAAATAAATAATCTCTGGTGATAGAGCTGATACATCTAATCAGTATTCTTATTCTGTGTTAGTAGAGAATTGGATTTTGAATTTAAGAGAAAGTAAAATACGTATTGCTCCAAATTACAGCCTAAGTGACTAAGTAATTCGTTGAATTGTGGGCTTTGATTGATCAGTGGAGGGAGGATCTTAGTGTTTTATCAGCTGCTGTGTTCTCTCCTTCTCAGAATGGATGCACTCAGCCCGACTCGCGGATTACCCTCGGTGGAGTCTCCGCCATTACCTGTGTGGTTAGGTACACGGGCACAGATGTGAGTAGTAGCTACAGTTGTGCTTGTTGAACGTTTTCTCAGAAGGTATTCTATGTACTCCTATGATATGTTGAGTATAACAAAATCAATCCTGGACCAACGATGATGATTGGTCATCACCGCTGATGTATTACAGATGATGAAAACCATATCTGATACTCACAGGTCCAATGCAAAAAGTCTACGTACTGCCTCTCTTGAAAATGATCATGGTGCAATCAGGAAAATATTTCTTCGAGGAAAAGAATCTATTAATACAAATTAGAAATAGTGAAGTTGATTAAGTAAGACGTAGCTTCAGAATGTTGCTACTGGGTAACGGGATAGATTTGATCAAAATAGATGCATTGAGTTCCGCCAAAGTGCAAAACTTGAGCTGGGCGTGGTGGCGCATGCCTGTAATCCCAGCACTCGGGAGGCTGAGGCAGGAGGATCACTGAGAGTTCGAGATGAGCCTGGGCTACAAAGTATGCTCAAGGCCAGCCTGAACTGCATAGTGAGACCCTGTCTCAAAAAGACAAAAAAATAAAAAATATAAAAAAGACACTGAAGTATGAAACGCGGGGTGAGCTTGGAATAGCAGGAGTGACGGGTGTGAAAATGACCCAAATATGCTGAATGCATGTGTGAATGGGCCAGAGTGCGTCCCATTAATCTGTATAACCTGTATGTTCTGCGAGAAAAGATGTGAAGAAAACAATAATGCTATTTCTGTGGCTAATGGTTGCGCTGAAGGTTAGGTACTAATCATTAGTGTATGTAAAGCGAGGAATTATTCCTAAATAAATGTAAGCAGATGTAAACATTTGTGATAAATAAGGAACAAGTGATCAATGCCTAAATGAGTAGATGGAAAGCTAGGTTCGCTTTGTACCCACCGGCAGAGCTGTGCTGGGGTCGCTATGGGCGCTTGTGTGTGTCTGGTCTGTGACGCCCAATGTGAGCAATAGTTCTTCTTATACTTGAATGTGGGATATTTTATGGGTATTCGCTCTACAAAGAATGTGAGATAGTGTGGAAAGCCATGTGTGGCATGATATATATATATACTATTATTAGTGTATATATATATGCTATGTATACTAATATATATAATAATACTATACATACTTATGTATATATACTAATACAAAACATATATAAACTATATAGTTCATAAACTATATATAGTGTATATGGTGCATTGTATTGAACAGAATGAGGCAAATATTGCATGGACAGATGTTAAAGATACTTAAGCATCTTGTCCGGGTCTTGATGTCATATTAATCAGTGTTTTCAGGAGTAAATAGTACTTGCTACTGTTACCTGTTAACTGTTGCATCAGTAAAGATACATAGAAATAAAGTGGGTGTCCTGACATCGACCTCTATTCCCAGCTACTTGCTAAGCAGAGGGTATAAGATCTGCGGAAGACTGCCTGGGGCAACTGAGTGAGACTCCATGTCATTATAAAAAAGGAAAGAAGATAGATAAAGATAAGAATAAATAGAGAAAAATATGCTCAGTCCGAGCCTGGACCAATGATGATTTTTGGAGTTTAAGTCATGGACGAGGATAATGTGTCTGTCATGCTGAGATTACATAAGAAGCCTGGTATGTTTAGTACGTTGGAGACAGTCCTGTGTCCAGGTATTAGGAACATACAAGCTCTTGTCCTTTTTTATTTTTGTATTTTTATACAAAGAGTATCATAAATAGGCCAATGAAGAAATCATGAAATAAATACATAAATAAATAAATATAATACACTCTAGAAAGTCTAGAAACATTGTTTGCCAATCAGTATGCATGTTTGGGGAAAAATATCATTAATATAAATAAAAACTGTGATTCCCAATGGGAAATAAATCGGTCAAAATGGTACTTCCATGTTAATGGTCTTATAAACTGTTAAGTAAGACATACTCTACTTTTTCTCTTGATCAGTTCAAGTTACGGGAGTATATTTTGTCCAGATAATATATATGCTATGACAATTAACAAGTACCTAAACAACTGCATAAATTAAATGTGAAAATGAAGATTTGATGGAGAATATGTTGGTTGTTTTTTAATCAGTTGCTCTGCTTTCTATTTCTCAGAATGGACACCCTGGAGCAGATTTAAAGAGTCTTTCTTAGTGACAGGTACCTGGATGACTTTTTGTTTACTGCATAGAATACACTGTAAATGTATACGTATATAATCTGTATTTGGAAGCTATAAAATACAGTCAAAGAAAGCCAACCATGGCCCAGTCATCACATTCAGTTGATACATAGTATTATTTTGATTAATCCGTACAGGAAAACTTGAGGGTGATTAATGCCAGAGCTATATTGCTGTGTCAGAGTACTCTGTAGCTAGATATAGAACTATTCAGGCTTATTCATTTTCTGAGCCTTGCATCTCATAATCAGTTATGGCTCTCAGAGTATCGGGGAATTAATTAATAAGCTTAGGTATATGACATAAGTGTGAAAATGGACTCACCCCTGGATCAAAGATGATTGCTGATTGTGCATAAGGTTCAATTGATGCAGAATGTCTGGGACCCCGAAAGCCAGAATGAAAGTCATATTAGCATACTGCCCCAGGATTTTGCGGGGGTGTTACTTTGTTTAGCACCATTATGTTTATGGATATTTGTCCTTTTGCAATACATAGATGAATAAGAGAACCGATGTACAATCAAAACGGCATGTTGCATACTTGTAGTATGTGCAATTTTTAAATGAAAAATAATCAATGTGGAGTTGTAAATAATTAAAGCTGTGGAGGGTGTTGGCATCACGTAGTTATGAAGTAATGAATGAGGGAGGCCAGAGGACATAGTAACAAGGAGTGATAGCAATCCACCAAGGAATAAATGGTGTTTCCTCTGTCTGAGGATGATGCAGGTAAATAACGCCCAATATTCTTTTTCTTGGGTCATGGTAGTTTAATACTGTTTCACTTTCTTAATGGAATAAGATGGATTCATTGGAGTAGTGAAAGAAGTTGGAATAGATGGAATATGAAATCTATATTAAACCAAACTTGATACCCCTGAATAATTGAATATTGATTTGGAGAGGTAAAGATTAATGCAAGAGCATCTCACTCATCTCATCCTCTGGTCTCCACTCTCTGTAGAATGGGTACACCCCGGCTGACTGAAGCATTATGTCCTGGCCTTTGCTGTCTCTGACGGACTCCATGTGTAGCATCATGAAGACCATTGCTTGTGTTAGATCACGTTCTCATTGTCTGTTGAGAAGAAGTATTTCAGATAAGTAAGAGGACCCACCATGGTCCAATAAGGAAAAATAAAACTGATACGAAACATCATCTCGGTTATTTTTCTGATAATCAGGATGATTCTTTAAAGAAGCAGGGACACTAAAGGAAGCAATGATTCTGTGTACGTTTCTGTGGATATTTGGACCCCTGACAATCTGTAATCTGGATGTGAATATTGGAATTTGACATAAATTGATGTAGCAAATGGTTCTGGAGATCCATGTAGGTAATTAAATCACTTGTTCTTCTGGAGATGTCTCTTGGATTTTTTTAATCTCAGGGGTTTTGTCTTATAATTTTTAAAAAATTAACATTAGCAGATTAATAAATTAATCAGTGAAGAAATGCAGATGAGCATGAAGAAAGGCGCACAAAACCAGGCTACCACGCTGGGCGTGGTGGCGCACGCCTGTAATCCCAGCACTCGGGAGGCTGAGGCAGGAGGATCGTTCCAAGTTCAGGCTACAAAGTGAGCTCACCGCCAGCCTGAACTGCACAGCGAGACCCTGTCTTTACAAGACAAAAAAAAAAAAGAAAAATCCGGACTGCCTTGTGCTCATATATGATGAGTAGCCCTTGTCTCTGTGTCCAGGCACAGAAGGACAAATGCTACATGGGTGCGCTGGGGGGAATGGATGGGCGTCCAGAGCACACAAATGATTAGCTAGACAGGAACAAGATGTGTTGGAGATAAACATATGTCTACCATGACTGCATAGTGTCTGTAGTTATGTAGTATATTTCAGAGTTGGTGAGAGTAGATTTTTAAATGTCCACACTCCAAACAATGCTAAGGATGTGAAGCAATGGGAAGGGAGGGAGACTGTAAGGATAATGCTCACATAAAGCATTAGATAATCGCGTAAATTTAAAAGAAATTTTATCCCAGAAGACACATTGGCACTAATCCTTATTCTACTTCCCCCCACTTTGAGCGCATTTATCCCATCATTTTGCTATTTTTTGAAGCAGTTCTTGAGGTCTTCTTTCATGTCTTCACGAGGTATGATAAATAATACAGTCGATGCTGCGGAGTGCCATCCATCGGAAAGGCAGGTTTGCAAAAACATTATGATGTGTTTTAATCTACTATCTTCAAAGGATCTTGCACCATACAGATTCTGGCTCTGCCCCAAAGTCAAAATTACCATAAAAGGTAAAATATTTGAATGGATTCAGGATATTAAGACAGCCATGACAGTGCAACTGCTTCAGAAAGTCAAAAGATCAATTCGATAGATGTGCTCAAAGTGAGGCGAAGTATTGGAGCAGGAGGTTAATGGCAATGTGCCTTGTATTGTAATAAAATTTTTTTGACTATTGTTCTTTTAATAATTTTTTGAATACTATTTTGCATAATGTAGATATTCAGCATAGATATTCGCCATATTTTAAAATTATAGCTGGGTGTGGTGGTGCGTGCCTGTAATTGCGGCACTTAGGAGGCTGAGACAGGAGGATCTCTTGAGTTTAAGGCCAGCCTGTAGTACATAGGAAAGCTTTGAGGTCCCTTAAAAGGAGATACAGGACTGTGCTTCAGTTTGAGGGGACGTTTTGCACACATCCTAGGAAGTCTACAGGGATTGTCTTGCATTATTTTTATGCAGGTGCTTTTTACTATCATAAGTAGATAAATGCAACAGTCGTTGTAAAAATGTATGTCAGTAAAGATGAGAGATGAGAAGCATGTTCACTATATGTGATAATATAAAATTAACATATTCAAACATCTTGAAAAGCTGAATTCTGCTAATGAATAGTTCAAATGTCTTACTTCTTTGACTAAGGATGATAGAGATATTTTGAGTAGTCAAAGTTCGGATGTCATATCAGTGGCTAATTGGAGGCAAATCAAAACATCAATATATGCCGACGGAACTCGATACAGGAAGGTAGAATGTACCTGCACTTTTTTGCCTGCTCTGCTCTGTACTTCTCAGAACGCACACCCCGGACCTGGCTGGAGCTTCTGCCGCCTCCTGGCTCGCCCGGCTGCCACGGTGTGTGGAAATCTGTCTGTTTACTAGGGTCATAGTCGCAGTTCCTTTCTGAGTTTGGTTTTTTTTTTTTTTTTAGGGTATTCAGCGTAATACTTACGGTTAATATTGGGTATAATTTTAAAAGGGCCAGCCATAGTCCAGTGAAATGGTGGGAATTGTAAGAAAGATGTTGGTTAGTTGATATTTGTAACAATAAGATGATTAATGGAAGAGGTTAAATCAATTAGGCAAATGGTTCTAAAGACAAATAGGACCCAGAAGGAACTTGTCCTTGAATGTCTGGAATTCATAGTTCTTTAATTATTACTACTGAGTCAATGAATTAATCAATAAACAACCTTAAATGAGAATGGGAGGCCCGAACCTGGGCCAGTGGTGAATCGTGGGTGATGAATGCTAAGTGTCTGGAATCTGGTTGTGTCTGAGGCCCAGACACAACAAGAACTTGTTTAATTTGGTGTTTTAAATAATCCTGATATATGCGAGATATTAGGCGTATAGAAGGATCTCATTCTGTTTTGCTCATATATTTCACTTTATTACTGTAAATTCATCATCTGTAGACCTGTGTGAAAGTATATGTATAAATAACTAAGTGAGCATAGGTCATATATTTATACACTTTTGTATATAAGTACACACCAGCATACCCACATATATACACACAGATGGGGAAGTCCACTTCAATACATATGTTCATGTAATTTTTTATATTATGAAAAGTTAATAAATACCCAAATTGCTGAGTAAATGAAATGAGGACAACAAAGACCACATCTGAGAGAATCTTGCCTTCTTGTTTATCTTGTTGGTCTTGTACTCCCCAGAAAAGCCACTTCCGGGCTGATTTTGGCATCCTGTGTAGTATAGGCTCTATTCCTCACCATGATGGGCATAGCAACCAATGTAATTCTCTTCCATTAGATTATTTTTCATAAAGGATTTACTGATAGTATTATTACAAGTTTGAAATGTAATCCAAAAGGCCAGACGTGGATAATGGTAGATATGGGATGAATAGAAATATTATACATAGAAAGATACATACATGGATAATGGAAAAGATTCATGAACATGGCACATGTGGACATGGACACTAGATTCCTCTTATTCATAGGAGTTTGTGAACCCTAGCTTGAAAAATTAATGTCCGTGAGTCGGTCAATAACAAATGTGGATGACAGTGGAGAAGCCGAGGCCTAAGCCTGGACCAGTGATGATCCCGATGACATAATAAATCACAGATGATGAACGTTGCATTGCTCTGAGGTCCAATAAAAATGACTACGGTCTACTGTCTCTGTTTAAATGACCCTGTAGGTAGATATTAGAAAAGTAAACAGATCACTTTCTTGGAAATGACTCAAAAAACCAATCAGTTTACAAACATAAATATGCTGAACACTGTGAAGCATTCCTCGTCTCCATATTTAAAGTTAGGTAATAGAAAACTCTAAGCATGCCTGACTTTAAGTAGGAATGAGGTAGACAGAAAAAAATGAGTGTTTTCCCTTTGTCTGTGACACGACTGAGCCAGTGTGAGGTCAGATGGGTGGAAAGGACTTCGATCTCGCCCTTCTGCACTCTGCCTTACCTCTCCGCAGGAACGCACGTGACGTCCCTGGAACTCGCGCCGGTTCCCGTGGGCTCCCTGCCTCCCCGCACGATGGAGCACTCGGCCACGGTGAGCACCATCAAAGCCCTTGTCTCGCTTTGGGCAGTTTGTTTAGGATAAGCACAGGAATCGTTAAGCAAGTACTAAATATGCTCTGAGAGTAACCGTATCCTAACGATAAGTGCGGGGGTGGCACACAGCATTCTGCTGGTTAATGGGTGCATGCAACTTGATAATGGTTAGTGACACAGGCGCATTTTGGTGCTACAAGTGATTCTCTGCACAGGTGTTAAGGGTGCTTAGGATCTTGTCCTCGAGTTTTTGATTTGCACTTATTATTATTAGTGAAGTAATGAATAGAGCTGTAGTCACATGTACATGAGCATGAACAGCCCTGGCCCTGAACCACTGATTAAGAATGGCCGTGTGGGAGGTGGAGACGATGACCAGTGTGTGTCTGGACCCTGAGGCCCAGTGCAAAAGGAATCTCGTCCACCCCTCTGGTGGACCCTGTAAGATGGCTTTACAATCCAAGGACCTTTAGTCATCTTTGCGTTTCTGTATTTTATGTTATACTGTTATTAAAATACAATGGTGATGTTTACTGTTCAGAGTTAAGTATAAGGTTGTCATAGTAACAGAAAAATGAATAAATATTACAAGCGAAAAGATATGTAAGTAACTGTAAATATTGAAAGATGTAGGTCCGTGTAAATAATATCTCAATTTTTCTTTATCATGTTTTCTGCTTTGCACTCTTCCGTGCTGAAGAAGGTGCTGACTTCCTGTTAGGCCAAGGTGAGTCCCATGAAAAAGTGTTCTTTTGGGGGGGGTCATTTTTTGAGGGTGTTTATTGTGCTGTTAATCAGTATTAAATGCATAAAAGCTAACATGGACCCAATTACAAATCTGTGGTGCAGTATGATGATTCATTTATAATATGTGGTACTCAGATGAAGAAGCACCAATATACAGTCTTTGTGGACAAGGATTATTTAGACTGATGTTTGGAATTTCCAAGATTAGTTCTTGGGCCTTCAAAATCTTATATTGTTATTATTATTATTATTAGTAGTAGTAGTATTACTGTTATTATTATTTCTGAAATGTTGACATCCAAACAAATGTAGGAATGAAGAAAAAGAGACTCAAACTTGGACCAATATTGACCGCTTACAGCAGGTGGGTCACAGATGATGGATATTTTGTGTCTGAAATTCTGAGGTTCAATGCAAAACATAAATGAGTTTGCTTTGTTGGAAACAAAACCTATGGACAGATACTAGACATGTGCAAAGATAGTATTCTTACTTTGGATTCAGATGCTTGATTGATTCTTAGGGGGTCAATGAGAGGATGACTAAGCAAGTATAATTAGGTAAAGAAGAGGGTACATCTTTATCTGAATGTGACTCTTTGCGATAATGTAAGAAAAATGATAGTATTCAACTTTTTTATGGGAGGCTGAGGCAGGAGGATTGCAAGTGTGACCCCAACCCGGGGAACCTAGCAGCTTACTGAGACCTTGTCTCAAAGTAAGAAATAAGGAAGGGCCAGGGATTTAGCTCAGCATGAAGCACCTAGGTTCAGTTCTCAGTACTGATAGATAGATAAATAAGTAAATAAATAAATAAATA